AGCTTTCTTCAAAACACTGTGTAATTCGCGTTTTTTTAAATATTGCTGTTATGTATGTCTATTAGATTATCTCAATAAATGAATGTTGGAAATTAAGTTTTATTCTTTATTAAACTTAAATATATTATATTTTCTTCGCTTACATTTTACGTGCGTATGATAACAAAGAAATTCATAATAATGCAAAAAGTTTCATCGTGTGCTATTTAACGAAGAGCTTTAACGTACTTTGCTTACTATCGTATACTATATTATTTAAATTATTTCTGTACAGTATCCAAATAAAAGCTATTGATTATAAAAAGTGCATGAAATGATCATTGTAATCTATCACGATTCTAAAATGTAGAAACGAATAGTAAATAAATACATTTACATATGATCGAAAGAGATGGTGTTATGAAACATCAGCATTACTAGTAAATACTGTGATCCATAATTATTGCACTTTTAATTGCTTACTTTTAAAAAACACAATTTTTTTTATTAATTGTAAATTTTAGTTCTGTTACCTTCCTTCTGCTATTTATACTTTTAAACACTCCTAGTTCATGTTTTTTCTTAAATAGTGCTGTCATGTATGTTGTTTGTTAGGTTATTATTTCATTTTAGACATGAATATGAGAAGTTATTAGATTTAGGTATATTTTTGATCACATTTATGAACTACTTTATACTGTCTTTCATTTGTATATCTTGAAGATATAGAAGTTAATTGTTATATTTTTTACTGTACAACGCGAATAAATTTATACTTTAAATAAAATACTGATTATATTACCTTAAGAACCGCTTTCTAATTTATCATGACAGGGTCAATTTTCAATGCTTCTGAAGTTTAACAGAAATAAATGTGATAATGCTGTTATCAGAAACGCCACCCACGTATGTATCGTTACTTTTATTTAGGTCTAATTGAGTTTTATTTACTTAAAACCTACTATTAATGTTATATATTTATAACAACTACTTTCATAATTAGTCTCACTTAAGGAAAAAATATGATGAAATCTTAAATTATCGTAACTTGGAATTTAGATTATTTAAAAAATATAGATTAAGTACTGAAAATAATTAAGGATATTATTAATTATGCAAATTTAGTCTAAAGAGAAATTTAAAAACTTTAAAGTATTGAAAATAATTAAGGCTATTATTAATTATGCATATTTAGTCTAAAGAGGAAGAATTGTATTATCTTCTGAATTTCAGGAAATGCTAAAATATTTAAACTTTAGATAAATACAAGGAATACAAAATTTTAAAAAGGAAGAAAAATATATTAATTATTAAGCTTATCTTTCTTCATCAATCAATATGTAACACAAGGACATAATAACGACATTTCACAACAGTTGCAAAAAGGCGAAATTTTGCGAACATTTAGGCGTCTTTAAGACGTCGTGATACGATATTTTCACAACCAAAATATCACCTGCGAAAGACGCATTAACGACCTCTATGCGACAAAAACCTCATCTGCAAAGACGTCTTTGCAACGGTTGCAAAACAGTGGATGCTCGCGGACATCTGGGCGTCTTAAAGACGACATATTGCAACGACATCTACGACGAGTTTGCAACGTCGTTACGACGTTGCTGTGTTACTTAGGCAGTTTCGCGCGTCGGAGGAAAAAACAAATCCCGTAGAGTGTTGCCATTGCTCGCTTTGAAATAGTTGAGTTTATTAATAGCGAATTCATTAAAGTTTTACAAAATTTGAAATAGATATTAAAACAAATTCCAAATTTGGGTTTCCAGAAGGCCATATTCGAATAAAGGACTACGTTATTCAAAATTTGATATCTCTAGGTACCGTTCTTTTTTTTACAAAGCGAGAAACATACTTACATTTATTCAGATTCATCATTATTTAATTTCTTTAAATATAATGCAAGACACTAAATAGTTGGTGCCAACAATTTGAAAAGTGAAACGCCGTTTAGCCAAAGCAAAATGCCGAAACAAAATTAATAGCCCTTCTGGGCAAATTGCCACTTTGAAGTAATAATAGCTTTTACTTTTGTTAATGAATTCTGTTAATCTAATCCGTTGTTTAGGAGCCCGTGCTTTTGTTATTAATGATACAATCGGAAAAATATTGTAAATAGACTTGTTTAATCTGTTGCTCCTGTTAGATAAATTATTTTTTGCCTTTTGCTTCATTAATTATTTCATGCATTTTTAATAAAAGCATATTTTATTTAATATTTTAGTTCTTCTTTGCTTCCTTGTACGACGTAAAAGAAGTATTGTAATCCCGAATTATTCCGAGTACCCTATTTAAACAAAAATATCCATTTTGACCACTGCGAATGCAATTTAACGATGTTTGTGCGTGACATCTGTACATAAGGACAGAATACAGGACTTTCTTCCCAAAACGAATTATAAAACTAATTTAAAATGGATTCAGAAGATACTTTTTCGTGGCGTCTGAATGTATGTAAATATGTAGTATATATCTCGGATAACTTAAAATCGAATAGCCTCAGAACGCTGAAATTTTGTATATAGGACTGCTGTAGTTGTACACCTCCCTTCTAGATGGCAATCGGCCGCACTAAAATTATATAAATATATCTATATCTTTATCTTATATATATCTTTATATATATAAGGAGCTAAAGTGTGTGTCGCCGATAGTTTGATGTTGCCACTCGGAAAAATTAGCACGGAAATTAACGTTTCTGCAGTTTTTAATTAATATCTCGGCCGATTAAAGTCGTACGAAGATGAGAACCGTATCGATGGATTCGGAGAATTTTTTGGAATCCGAGTATACGCGTCTCGAATTTCAATTCGGCCCCGTTCCGTAGATATTCGAGAAAAAAGAATTTGGCACGTAGCCAAATCCCTCTAATAGGGAAAACCCAAGAAAGAAAGTGGAGATTATAGGGAAAACGTAGGGGGAAATTAGTTTTTAATTAATATCTCGGCTAATTAAAGTCTGAAGAAGACGCGAACGGTCAAAATGGCGTACCACGGACCTGCGGAATCCAACGCTGTGCTTCGCTAAGCCCGGGAGCCAGCCGTTTCGGAGGAAATGATGTTACTTCACCCCATATATATATGCGACTTAAGTGTCTGTTTGTCACCGATAGTTTATTGGTCGCTTGCCTAAGTGTACTAGCCAATGGGCTGAAGTTGCCACGGCACAGGGTTGCCGTTTCAATTCAGACGTAGACAATCTCCTGTAAAACTCGCCTCTGTTATGAACATCCAGAAGTTTCAGGGCCAAACACTTAAGCATGTTGGCATATTTTTACCTGAACCTGCATTTGAACATGGTCAACTTTATGTTGCCTGTTTAAGAGTTCGTGAAATAACGGACGTAAAATTAAAAATAATGGATGGTCCTCTGCAAGGTGAGCTTAAAAATGATGGAGAGATCTACACAAGAAATGTTCTGTACAAAGAGATATTTGACATGTGAATTAACATTTCATTATTTAAATCAACTTTATTGATTGAGCTAGCGGTGGGCTCTTAAGATTTGTACCGCCAGTGGTTTCCTTCATTGCACTCTACAATTAGCAAGTAATTAAGCAAGTAGAAGGGGGTACCCCGTGGGGCAGTAAGCAAAGGAGCGTCCTCGCCGCCTGTTCAAATTAGCAGACACCTTTGCTAATTTGCCCTGGGTAATTCAGTTTAAATTAGCAGAATCATTTTAATTACAATTTATAGTATCTAGAACCGCCGGGCTTTCTAGTATATATATATATCCACTCTGTTACTCTGCTCACTGAGCTCAGATATTTTATTCTTATATGTTATAAATTGTGCATTTTGTGCTTTAAAAATGACTGAATTATGTTGTTCTTATCTTTCGGTTAAGGTTTTTATGCTTTTGTTAACTTCCACGCAATAGTTTTAGAATTATGAACAATTTTAAATTTAAATTTGCTTAAGTGTGGTTGAGAATAATTTTTTCCCCATAGCAGCCATATCTGTTTGCATTTGAAACTTAGCAGAATAGTGGATTTTTTGCCAATCTAGAGAAACTAAGCTTCGCATCAACAAAGATAATGTCTTTTAATATTGCGAATTAAATCATGCTTAATCCATCCTGGAATTAATATTATAGTTATTAAATTATCCCATATTTTGACTCATCATAGTGTCTATCACAAACTAAGTCAGTTTCTATGCCTTCAGTGTCTTTTGGCAAGTGAGACCAAAAGTAAACTTTCAGTTTTGTGCACCGAAAATCTGCCTTCTTGCCCGTTGGCCGAATTGCTTGTTTTGCTCTAATTATAATTGTTAAAATTGTTCTTTAAATATCTTAACTGCCTTTATGTTTGATATTTTTCTATATTTTTCAATTCTTAATAAAGCTATTTTGAGGTTTTATCTATTTTTACCTTGTCGCGAAGTGAGGACTAAATTAATTGAATGAGAAATATATCTCTAGTGAAATTCGAGGAAATAAGTTTAAAAACGAAATGCAGTAAAAAAAAAAGGATAATTTAATATTCCTCACAACGAAGTCATGTGGTGTACACATCAATTTTTTTTATCTCAATGACACGTTACCCGTCAATTATTCAATTGGAAAATTATTTTTCAACAATGAGTAGTCATTATTTACTTGCAACAACTCTGTTATGTAAAACGTCAGTACAACAGACGATTTAAAAATTTTTTCCTCTTTCTATCCAATGGTGCAAACAATAATATTCTTCAATAGATAAACAAAGATAGGGACAATAAATCGTTTCATTATAACGTAACGTTTAAATAAAATATAGAAATTTCCGCTTTACCGCCTTTTATCATTCACAAACAATATGTGTACGAAATTTGAACTTGAAAGTTTATCAACAAGTAGTTAAAAATGGATTACAAACATCTTAATCATAGGGCATGAGATAATTTATAACTCACATGCAACAATACTCTTTTAAGAATAATATAAATTAGAAAATTAAATTTTATTTATTTACTTTTTAACGTTTGATGCAAATGCTGTTTTTGATATCTGTATTGTATATTCCACAGTGTGCGGCCAAATCGACGTCGGTACTTTGGCAATCGTGGGTCCACATATTCCGTCCAAACTTCCTGTGGTTCAATCCACCTGTACCACCATGAACGTTCCCCACTTGAGCACAGCGCCACCTACTGTCAAACAGGTGCCTCACAGGAGTTATACTTTACATTTGCATCCACCGGATAGTGCCTTAAGTAAAGCCTACAGAGACTTTGTGAAATCGAGAGGCTGGAAGTCCTTCACCATCATTTATAAAGACGCCAGATGTAAGTTATCAATCTTATTTATTAATTTAATTGTTAATGAATCAAGCTGAATATCTATTAAGATATTAACAAGGAAGCAGCAAGAAAATACGGGACATATACAAGGAGTATTCAATTTGACTTCAATGTGTCATAGAATTCAAACTACAATGGTTCGCTTGACAACTCCTGCTGAAACCAGCTACATGGAAAGTTATTCGAGCATGGAATCGTTGAGCCGTTCCTGAGAGATACTCTGAATACTTAATTTAGGATAGTAAATTATTAAAATGTTCCACTGGTGTCTCTTATCTGATGTCCTGAATTGGAAGTGTAACATTTTCTGTCCGATAACAGTATTAAATTTTTTTCTCTAAGGTTACATTTACTATACACATCTTAATTTGTTATGATTTTAGTTGTTGAGTTGGTATTGATATGGAAACTCAAATCAACTCCTGTAGAACTCCCTAATAGAAGATATAGGCAAGTATCACTACGACTTAAATAGTCACACTGTACTGAAAAAGATTTTAAAATAAAATTTTTTATTTAATCCGAACTGAACACAAAACGCTCAACTTCTGCTACAGACAAACCATAAACCGTAGCTATTCAAATTAAGTAAGAGACAATAAAACTCAAACGTGTGTCACATAGTGCAAGGCTACTAATTCAATCAAATAAGAAACAATCGGGCTCAAATACTTTACCAGAGCTTAAGTTTAAAGCATGGGCTGGTGAGATTGCTCAAAAGTCAGAATATCGCTTTTACATAGAACTGGTAAAAACCTAACAGCAGATGCGAATGTAAGAAGTTTTAAGATTAAAAACCTTCAGTTTACATACTTCCAAAGTTAATTTTCATTTTAGACAAGAATACAAAAAGAAGTTATACTATATGTCAAACTCCAAATAACTAGTTTATTAACGTAAGAAACTTACGTAGTAAATCAGCTTATTATGTATGACTTCTGTGACTTTTACATAGATTGCCATATGTCGCATACAGAGCTCTGTCAAGCTTAACATATGCATGTGTTTTGCCATAGCAGTAGATGAGTTAGGTTTTAAAATAGCACCTGGAACATTACACATAAAAATAAAGCATATTTGTAAACGTAAAATAATTTACAAAAAAGGAATAATTAATATTGTTAATTACTCGTAAAATTAAATAAAAATATTTCTTTTTTCAATTTCTAGAAACTGTACGGAAAATCTTTACAAGCTGTCTTAAATTTATTGGTAGTAAAAATAATATAAACGTAAAATTGGTTTCAGTTGCTAGAAGCTTTTAGAAAAGTCATTATGAAGTATTTTTATTTTATAAACTATTTTCCATTATTCAATTTAATAATTCGTATTTTTATTTTAAACTGGGGTATGTTTTCCTTTTTATATTTTTTGTTTTAGTAAAAGAAACGAATGCAAAATTTTCAATTATCTAGGAAAACAAACATTCCCGATTATATCCATAACATAAAATTTCACTAAAACGGATTAGGGAGATGAGTTAAATGCTTAACGATACATTACCTTCCATTTAATTCTTTTGTTTTTCCCTTAATGCGAATGTTGGGAATTCTACTCTTTCTTGTGCTCGAGAAACATTTCCACTAAAATCTGAGAGTAAGTCCGTTGTTATGCATTTTTCAAATTCTGTTTATGTAGTTTAAAATAGCTTATTGTGTTCTATTTAGCTTTGTACATACGTTTATTTGATAACTAATCGCAGCTATTTTAAATGATTCTGAAAAATGAATTTCGTTTAAATTCATTTTGAAAGCTAGAAAACATTTATGTGGAGTTTTGTTTGAAACACGTTTTTTTTTCCGATTATAAATTGCTAACCACAAATTTTATAAAAATTTAGATACTGTGCGTGAGTTGAATACATCAAACTATTCATTTTCTTCGGCAACTTGTACAAGTGTGTTTTGTTGTAATAAAAGATGCAAACAATTAAAAAATTTAAATCAGAATCTTCGATCGATATAAGAAGACAAGTTTTGAAATTTAAGATGCAACTAAAGTTGAAACAAGTATGGTAAAATTGAAACGTGTGGACAACAGTGACTAACACTGTAGGCCGAATAGAATCCACCAGTAAAACTTTAAAATAAAGAGTTTCTATGTAAACTCTCGTTTGCTTGATTAGTTTACGTAATATGAAAAATGTCAATAATTTAACCAATTTAAATAAGCCCCAAGTTATAAATTTATGCAATATTAATTTTATCTACATAGAAGCAATGCAATTAATCGAAATTGGTCAAATTTGCCTCCGTATTAGGGAAAGAGTATAGAGAACTCGTTTCAACAGTTTATATTTGAGTGTACCGAAATAGGAATGGAGAGCAAAAGTTCGTATTAAGTAATTCAACTGCCATCATTTCAACTGACGATGCAATTGCAATGCGTACAAAACGTGCGTTGTAATTTGTGATTTATTATTGGAAAATAAGTATGTTAAAAGCTGGAAAAAATATATCAATAACATGAACGACACTTTTTCTACAGTTTTTGTAATTCCCATAGTATTCATTGACTTGATGTAAAATATCATTTTTTTATACTCTGATGCTAAAACAATTATTATTTATACTCTATCAACTTTATTCTGTCTTTCTTATAGTCCATGACTTAGACCAGAACAACAGAGCTCTTAAGAATATGAAACATTCCAAGCGTTCTTCAATACATCAGAGTTAAGGAGAAATCATGGCTTACTTCTTGCGGAATTGGCGGAATGCCAGCCACCAAGTCTCCATTAGTTTAAAAATTGGATCAAAGTTAAACAGCGAAATAATTGATGTTTAACGCATATATTTTAGGTAAGGGATGGGCAAACTATGGCCCGCCGTAAGATTCTATCCGACCCGCGGATAAAATTTTAATTTGCCGGTCCGAGGAAAATTAAAAGAAATATATATTTATATATTATATATCCATCTCCTTTTCTACTTTTTTAAATATTAGTTCTCCTCCCCTTCCTTTTTTTCGAAGGACTGATGATCTTACTTTCTCTATTTTTGTTCTATAAAACATAACTTGACGGAAATAGCAAGCACAGGCAGCTTTCATAAAGTGTTAAAAGCGGATGTTCTTTGTTAGCTATAGCTGCAAATTGGCGCTAACAAGCGTTATCTCTTTCTCGGGGAGCAGACATGTGGGAACCCAATATAGGTAAATTAGACCTCTTAGAAAATACTTAATCTGAACTTAAAACTTAATATGTTTGCTGGACAGCTAGCTAAGAACGACTTGTCTCATTTCCCGATGTTAAATTCAATACCCTCATTAAATGAAGAAAAGCTTAAGAATCATGAAGATGGCTTGAAAAAAACTGCATTTTGAGTTCGAACAAAGATTTTAAGATTTCAGTGACATTCAAACAGGATTGGGTATTTTTACCATGTCTTTCAACGTAAATTGTGAAGCAGTGATGTCAGATTTGCAGCTTGAATTAATTGAGTTGCAATCTAACAATCATCTCAAGCAGTTGTTTCTAAATATACTAAAGTTAGAGTTTTATAAATCTTTATCGAAATTAAGTTTCCCAAATATAATATCTCATACCCAGGAAATCAGTGCTATGTTTGTTTCATCTTATATATGGGAACAAGATTAACTTCATCTTATATAATCATCTTATATCTTAATTATATGGGAACAAGTGTTTTCAAGTATAAACCCTAGAACGAATTATTTCAGAAGTAGACTGACAGATGAGCATTTAACGTCGCTCCTTAGAATCAGTACGTCTCACTTCGAACCTCAATATAAGGAACTTTTAAAAATGAAATTACAGTTTCATTCATCTCATTAACATACTTAAATTGTAATGCTTGTATATAGTTTTAAAATTTGTAGAAAAATTTATCTTGGCCCGCCAAACTCTTTTTTCGATTTTTGGCCCACGACCGAAAATGTTTGCCCATCCCTGCGTTAGATAGACTTTGCCATTGCAGCAACAAGTCATTAGTGAAAGTCATTACAATGTAAAATATGTCAAATTTATTCCGGTACTGGATCCAAATTTGACTTGCTCCAAAAAACCTGATTTGAATTTAGAAGCTGACAATTTTTTCTTGTCTAAAATTGTGGTCAAATGTATGATTTGAAAAATGAACATGTAGCTCAAAATATGATTTTCGGTTGTGTAATTGCTGTAAAAGTTTGGACTAATACAAAGTTTCCAAAAAACAGCTAATTCACGCTTCATAAAATTGGAAGGTAATTTAAATATTGATTAAGAATTAAATCGTTACTGGTAAATGGAGGAAGTTAACGAGGTTGGGAAAAATGAACGTCTGACATCTAAGGAACAATTTTGGGAATTATATTTCCAAAATACTTATTCTTTTAATTAAAATGTTCGATTTGTTGTAAAACATCCATTTCACAAACAGCATCTGAAGCTGTGTTATGCGAAAGTGGTACCAATCTCTTAAGTTGCAAAAATTATAAGTTGCTATAGAACGAAAATTCGAAGTTAATCCCCGATTCGAAAAACAGTATAAAGAATTTATGTATGAATACGAACATATTTAAAATTTCCAATGGTGATCCCTAGCCGTTAAAAGTGTTGGCCGCTACTAAGGCCAGAAGCAGTAGTCACTTCATTGTGTAGGCACCTAATAGGTGGGCAAATGTATGTGAATTTTATTTATGAAATATCACGTTCTTCGTACTTACGCCACTTAAAATTCAATTCAACAATAAAAATCACAAACTATTTAAAAATAGCTTATATTTGAAGTGTCCTACAGACAGTCTAGCGCGCTGGAGATAAAATGTATACCATTCTGTGTAGTTTTGCCCCTGCTCGCTTTTAAGTCGTTGAGTTTGTTAATGAACAATTCATTAAACCTTTACAAAATGTGAAATATAAAATTCGGGATTCAATCTGCCAGTGTTCGGAGGGAAACATTGTTAAAATTGTTCATAACTATGCAGATTATGCAGAATATACAGAAACTATGCAGAACATATAGAAGAAGTATGCAGATTATGCA